CAGAAGCAGAACTGGAAAAAGTCTGCTATTCCAGCCTCAACACTACTTGTAATTTTCGTGACTATTTCAAAGCACTTGTTAGTTTAATCCTTACAACTTCCTAACAAGAAACACAGCTTTCAGATGTTGGCTGAAAATATTAGATTGAAGTCACTGGAGGAACAACAAAAAAGTTTTTACTTTAATTCTCATAACTTTGCAGCAAGAAACAGAACTTTTAGAAGTAGTTGAAAATGTTTCACTGGAGGGGCGCTGCCTGGGTGGCTCAGTCGGTTAAGCAATCAACTCTCGGTTTCAGCTCAGGTCATGATCTCGTGGTTTCATGAGTTCAAGCCCTGCGTCGGGCTCGTCACTGACAGCGTGGAGACTGCTTGGGATTCTCTCTTTCTCCCTCTCTCTCTGCCCCTTCCCTGCTCACGCTGTCTCTGTCTCTTTCAAAATAAATAAGTATACTTTAAAGAGTTAAAAAAAGAAAATATTTCACTGGAGTCATTGGTAAAGAGAAAAAGTAACAACAGTTGTTACTGACACTGATGACAGTTACTATTTATTGAACGCTATGTGTCAGATAGTGTTCTAAGTATTTTATATGCATACCTTCACATCATCCTCGTAAGACCCTGGGAGGAAACTTCTGCCACTGTCTCCATTTCACAGTGAAGGAAGTGGCAATTATCTCAGAGGCTGAGTTACCCAAGATCACACAGCTAGTAAGTGATGGAGTGTGGTTTCCAGTCCAGGTCTATACCCGTCACCATCACAACCTTCCAGGGAGCCTCCTGACACCCTCTGGAAATGAGAGAACTATCCAGAAGGCCCTGGAAAGGCTGAACCGTTTTACACACACCTTCTAGATCAGCACCAGAAGCAATGCTGTCTGACCCTCCAAAAGTCAAACATGACACCCGTGTTAGCCACAATTCCTGAAAAAGCGAAACCTGAAACCCAGGAAGAATGTTTGCGTTTCTGGAAGCAATTGCAAAAAGAAGCAAATAAGGACAAATGAAAAACACACAGTTGCCAAAGCAATTCAACACTGGCAAGAATCTTAATCTAAGATCTCATTAAAGAGCTCGGTGTCTAGCCAAGCCGTGGGTCCCACTGGGCACTGTTGCCTCCCCCCCCTCCCCCGCACCCCAGTGTCCCCACGTAGGAGCAAACAAATGCACGGACCCCAGTCTGGGCAAGTTATCTGGGAGAACAGACGGGGCAGGGAGCTTGGACTCTGACCCAGTAATGCCTCTCACACCCTGCTCGATACAGCATTTGCGACTTGATTACCCACCGAAACATCCAGACAGATGAGCCTTTCAGTTACTAACTTCAGGGAAGCTTTCCCGTTCTAATGAAGTTTCTTCTCTATTTGCTAAATTTTAAACACAGAGGTGCAACTCACATCGACCATTTCAAAGTGCAGAATCCAGCGGCATCTGGTACATTTGCAATGTTGCCTCTATCAATTCCAAAAAAATTTTCATCGCCCCAAAAGAGACTCCCATACCCATGAAGCAGCCACTCCTTCCCCCACCTCTTCCCAGCCCCTGGCCACCACCCATCTGTTTTCTGTCTCTCTGGATTTACCTATTCTGGATGTTTCGTGTAAATGGAATCATATAATATGCGGTCTTAGGTAACTGGCTTCTTTCACTTTGAATAAATGTTTTCATCCATGGTGTAGTAGGTGTCTCAGAATCTCCATTCGTTCTCGCGGCTGAATAATACTCCATTGTCTGGCTATACCACATACTGTTTATCCGGTCATCAGCAGACGGACACTTAAGCTGTTTCCACCTGTGGCTATTATGAACAGTGCTGCTATGAACGTTTGCATACAAGTTATTTGTTCAAACACCTAGTTTTTAACTCTTTGGGGGTATATATCCAGGAGTGGAACCGCTGGGTCCTGTCGTATTTCGACGTTTTAACCTTCTGAGAAACCACCGAACTTTTTCTATAGCAGCAAGCACCATTTCACATTCCCACCAGCAATTACAAGGTTCTGATTTCTTTTTCTTTATGTTTACTTATTTTTGAGAGCGAGCGAGCCTGCACACAAACAGGGGAGGGACAGAGAGAGAGAGAGAGAAAGAGAGACAGAATCGGAAGCAGGCTCCAGGCTCCACCCTGTCAGCACAGAGCCCATTGCGGGGCTCGAACCCACGAACTGTGAGATCATGACTTGAGCTGAAGTCGGATGCTCAACCCACTGAGCCACCCAGGCGCCCCAAGGGTTCTGACTTCTACACATCCTAGCCGACTTGTGATTTGTCTTCAATGATGATGACGATGGTGGTGACGATTGCCATCCCAGTGAGCATTTAAGAGAGCACTTTTCATAATGACCCCATAGCTAACGTTCACTGAGTGCTCACTGTGGCCACACACCCTCTTAACCTCATGCCTCGTTACATTTAATTCTCGTTAACAACCCTGTGAGGCTGGTGAGGAGATCAGAGCTTGGAAAAGTTGAAACGCTTGCCCAAAGGCCAAGATCTAAACTCTGGCAGTCTGACCCCAGAGTATGTTACCTTGGCTGCTCCATGACAATGATATACGGCGTTTCTGAATTGATCCTCACAGCCCCCTGGGCGGATACAGGTTATCAGCCCCATTTTTCAGAAGTTGAAACTGAGTCTTGGAGAAGAGCAGGGACCTTCCCCGTGTCCACCCATCTAAAAAGTTTCAGGTCTATCCTGCTCCAAACCCCACGGTGTTTCGCCTCCACTGTGTAAATACTCTTTGACAATATTTAAGTGTTTTAATTGTCAGGAACAATTAAAATTGTGACCGGGCTGCTTCCTGTCTCCAGACTGAAGAGAACAACTGCGACCATCTGTTGGACATTTGAAACTGAAAGCGAGGCTTCCTGGTTAATTTCACAGTTAGCATCTATACAGGGAATTTTGCAATAAAACACATCCCAGAGCATCTCGCGGTTAGGACGTTTGATAGAGCCGTGAGCAGCAAGCCCTGGAAGAACTAACAGAAGCCCAAATTCACACGAGTCCAGATCTAGGGGCTCAAGGATAGAAGCAGCACTCAGGGCACCATCTTTAACATCCACGCTGTTGGTAGTAATGGGGTCTGACATTGGGTACTGCAATCTTGTTGGAACCATGGTTCTGAACCCCAGTGACTGTCAGCATCACACTGCAGCCCGCAACAGCCCAACATGGACAGTGAGCGGAGTAGATTGCACAGTGCGCTAGACCAACACCACGACTGCTGGGATCCACGCGGCCTCGGGCATGGCCCTGCCTGCCTTCCCACTGTGCTGAGCCCTCATCATCATTATTCACCACCTCCACCCTCCTTGTCTGTCATCGTCGTCCTCCTCCTCCTCCATTTCCTCAAACCCTCACCACTCAGTGAAATTATTTTGTTATACAGTCAATTTACATTATTCGCAGTTATACAGTCAAATTTCGCTATTCTACAGGGATGCTGCAAACACTGAACCGTTGTTCCTCGTGGAAACACAAGATTAGGTTCCCACAAGCCTCTGCCCTACTTTTGTCACCTGATCCATATGTCATCTCCTTTTATGTGGGTTTCTGTTTAAAGACACCTTATTAAGTATAGATAGTTGATTCATTAACACTGAACTCATGGCCAACAGCACCATGGCTTGTGATAGGGAGCTTGAGCAAAGCTTCTGTAACAACGTATTTTTCTCCATAAGGCAGCTCGCAGCTTTCTTGTGCTCAGGAACATGAGACAGCACATCAGTCCTCTGCTCAGGGGTCATTTTAAACACTGAAAACCCCAACAGAAAAAAACCACAAGAACTGTGGGAAAAGTGGCGCTAAATTTAAGACCTCAGAAAGGACTCTTGTTTGCAAACCACTGTAAGAGCAAAGCAGACAGTGTTGCCTCCTTGGACCTCAGCTGAGGATGTGAGCAGCACGGGACTCAAATTTTTCACCACACAAATATGGATTTGGGAGATACAAATACATTGTATTTGCAACAAGGAGAATTTGCAAATATGGACTCCAAGAATGATGAGGATTGATGGGAATTATCTGTCTATTTGCTTACCATCTGTCTTCCCTGCTAAAATACACGTTCTCAGAAGGCAGAGGCCCAGACTTTCTTACCACTGTAGTGCCCAGCATCTAACACAGTGCCTGGCAATAAACAAACACAGATTTTTTTTTTTTTTACGACATATGTGTATATCAAATCATCACATCGTACACTTTAAACCTATACACTGTTATTGGTCAATTACATCTCCACGAATCTGGGGAAAAAATAATAAATATAGATATTTTGTCATGATGCATAAATGACATGTTGCCTCAATGAATATTTGTGACATGAATCAATTGCTGAACACTCATAAATCCTAACGGCCATGACAGATACTATTATTGGTATCACCCATCCTGAATGCAGGAAACAAAGGAGGTGGGAAATGCCTTGTCAGAGCCGAAATTCCTTTCAAGCCTGGGGTTGCCCTGGGTGGATAAAGTCTTGAGAGATAAAGGTCTGGTGGGACCAAAGAAAGCAGGTGGGAAGATGTCCTTATCCCTGCAGAAGAACGGGCTGCCCCAGGGGCCTCTGAGGAAGGGGAAGGGGGTAACGCTAGGAGGCCTGTCTGGCTCCCATCAGCTCTGAGGGATACGGCAGGAGAGCATCCACAGCAGGAGAGGCCACATTCGAAAAGATAACCTCTGAGGTTCCTCGAATTCCAGCGCTCGGCCCGCCTTTGATTGACAGGCATGATGTCAGCTTCATAACCTCTTGTGTTGGCAAATTTGAGAAAGCTCAAAGCAACATTAGATCACCTTGCACGCTGCAAAGCACCTTATTTTTATCTCCGGGCAACTGACTTGGAGAACAGCTTTCCCCAATCCTTCCGTCTTCTCCCTCGCCACGTGGATCCAGCGGGGCGGGCAGCTGCCTTCCTCTCTCTCCCAATTTCGCTCTACAGGGACAGTGCTTGTGAGGGCTTTGCAGCCTGGCGCGGTGGGAGCTATATCTTTTGAGGTCACCTTCACAGTCTTGACCCAGAGGCAAAGAGAAATGCGGATGCCTCCAGGAAACGGGTGTTGGGTAAACCTTCTTTTCCTCCTCCACCGCTGTTAACAAAGGCGGACACCACCCATGGGCACCATGGGGCTTCTCCAAGACATCTAGATTTAGTGCCTCCTGAGATAACTCCTTGCCCCAGGACAACAGAACCCAGCCAGCTTTGAATCCCAGCTGTGTGACCTGAGGTACGTCGCTTGATGTCTCTGAACGGCAGTTTGCGCATCTACAACTGAATAATAACAGTACGCACTTTAGAGACACCCGGGGCGCTCAGACGGTTAAGTGTCTGACTTCGGCTCAGGTCACGATCTCGCGATTCGTGGGTTCGAGTCCCGTGTCAGGTTCTGTGCTGACAGCTCGGAGCCCGGAGCCTGCTTCGGATTCTGTGTCTCCCTCTCTCTCTCTCTGCCCCTTCCCCCGCTCCTGCTCTGTCTCCTTCTGTCTCTCAAAGATGAATAAATGTTTTAAAAAAAGTATCTGCTTTGGGGCGCCTGGGTGGCGCAGTCGGTTAAGCCTCCGACTTCAGCCAGGTCACAATCTCGCGGTCAGTGGGTTTGAGCCCCGCGTCAGGCTCTGGGCTGATGGCTCGGAGCCTGGAGCCTGTTTCCGATTCTGTGTCTCCCTCTCTCTCTGCTCCTCCCCCGTTCATGCTCTGTCTCTCTCTGTCCCTAAAATAAATAAATGTTGAAAAAAAAATTAAAAAAAAAAAAGTATCTGCTTTATAGGCTTGTTTTGAGAATTTATGAAAATAAAGAGCCTTGCACACAGTAGGCCATCATTTTGTTACTATCACGGCTGCTGCTGTTTAGCCGTCATTCAGTTCCCCCTGCAGGTAGCTGTATGTATACATCACACCCACTGTGTACAAGGCACTCGGGTCCACAAGATGGATGGCTTCCCCAGCCACACAGAGCTTACGCCCTCTGCACACCACATCATAAAGACTTCGCGTGAAAATAAAGCAAAATTGCTCATCAATAATTTTTAGATTGATTACGCATTGAAATGATACCTTTCTGGAAATACTGGGTTACAGAAAATATAACGTAAAATTTAGCCTCGTTCCTCAAAAGGCTAAACACAGAATTACCCCCACGATCCAGCAATCCCTAGGTATATACCCCACAAAAATAGAAAGCTGGGACTCAAACAGATACCTGTACACCCATGTTCAAAACAGCACTCATCACAATATCTAAAAGACACAACCCAAGAGTCCATCGACCGATGCACAGATAAACAAAACATAATATATCCATACGGTGGACTATTATTCAGCCATAAAAGGAAGGGCGTTTTCATACACGCTACCACATGGATGAACCTTGACATTCACGAACATTGAACATTATGCTGAGATAAGCCAGAAACAAAAAGGACACATATTGTTATGTTTTCCACTTAAACGTGGTACCCACAGCAGACAACTTCACGGACGGAAGCAGAATAGAGGTTACCAGGGGCTGGGGTTGCTGAATGGGTAGAGTTCCAGTTTGAGATGATGGAAAAGATCTGGGGAGGGGCAGTGAACTTACTTAATGCCACTGAATGCACACTTAACAATAAGTTAAAATGGTAAGTTTTATGCTGTGTACATTTACCACAGTAAAAAAAAAAAATTAATGTCACCTATTTCTTTGTGTGTTTTTTAAATGTGGTTAACTAGAAAATTTTAAGTTACGTACATGGTTGGTATTATCTTCCCCTCAGACATACAGTGTCCCACGCGGGTCTAGAAGAGGACGTAGGCACTAAATGCAGAATCATACTTCAGTGACTTAGTTACGAGAGAACAGAAGAAGCTGAGGGCTGGGGAGAGGTTCCTAAGGAGTAACCTTTGAGCTGGGGTCACATGAGCCAGGTAAAGGACGAGAGCAGGTGTCCCAGCCAGAACCGGCACGTGCAAGGAGGGGACCCACAGGAGGAAATGCAAGGGGCCAGTGGGGCCGGGGTGGGTGGAAACTGAGGCAGGGGAGGGCAGCAGGGACCTACAGGCCAAGGTGGGGATTGGAGGATTTATCCAGAGGACAACCACAGATGTTCCCATGACCCTGCAGACCACCTGCTGCACTTGAGTAGCGGATCTGTCCACGTCTGTAGCTCGACCGTGAACTCCTGGAGGCCACGTCTTGGCATTCTCCATCTCAGCCCGTGGCACAACACTGGCACCAATAAATATTTGCTGGCTCAATCTGGAAGAGGCCCACACAAGTGGGCCCATCCCCCTAACACCTAACCTTGCCCCTCACCCCGCCTGTCACTGGAGCCCAAACACCCTGTCGAGGATGATTCCACAGGAATCTCTGAAACCAGAAGCTGCCAAGCCCACGGGTAAGGAACAAATGCGAAAACTAAAGATGTCCCCCCAGGTCTCAACAATAATTAAACCATCTACATTGATAAAAATCACAGACCAAGATGAAAACAAGCGAGTCTAGATATTAGCAATGGGGGTGCTCTGCCCCAGTTACTAACCCCAGGGGGCAGTCTGATGCTGACAGATAAGGCATCAAGTCTGAGCCGTCCAGGCACTTCTTCATCCCACAAACATTTGCAGGGCACTTACCAGGGAGTGAGGACTGGGCAGGTGCTGAGGTCTTGCTCAGTCAGCTTCCTGCCAGCTGTATCTAGACCAGAACCCCCGGCTCAGATCTGGAGTAACTGCTCTTCCGTTGCAGCAGGAACTCCTGGCTATCATATTATCAAGGGTAAATAAAGACGCTAACAGGGGCGCCTGGGTGGCTGAGTCGTTTGAGCATCCGACTTCGGCTCAGGTCATGATCTCCAAGTTCGTGGGTTCGAGCCCCGCATCAGGCTCTGTGCTGACAGCTCAGAGCCTGGAGCCTGCTTCGGATTCTGTGTCTCCATCTCTCTCTGCCCC